GACTCCAGATCTTGGTTTGTTAAGATGCATAGATGCTAGACAAGCATCAACAATCATGACTGAAGTACATTCCGGGGTTTGCGGGCCGCATATGAATGGGTATGTTCTAGCAAACAAGATTCTCCGAGCAGGTTATTATTGGCACACCATGGAGCGAGATTGTATCAGTTTTGTGCGCAAATGTCATCAATGTCAAGTACACGGAGATTTGATTCATTCTCCGCCATCTGAATTACACACAATGTCCGCAGCATGGCCCTTTGTTGCTTGGGGTATGGATGTCATCGGACCAATTGAGCCAGCAACATCTAATGGGCACAGGTTCATTCTGGTGGCCATTGACTATTTCACTAAGTGGGTTGAAGCTAAAACTTTCAAGTCTGTAACCAAGAAGGCAGTGGTCAATTTTGTTCATTCAAATATTATTTGTCGATTCGGAATCCCCAAGGTGATCATCACAGATAATGGTGCTAATCTTAACAACCATCTGATGAAAGAAGTGTGTCAACAGTCTAAGATTACGCATTGCAATTCCACCCCATACCACCCCAAGGCGAATGGAGCAGTTGAGCCAGCCAACAAGAACATAAAGAAGATAGTTCGAAAAATGATGCAGGGTTCCAGGCAATGGCATAAAAAGTTGCCCTTTGCACTGTTGGGTTATCACACTACTGTTCGCACTTCAGTAGGGGCAACTCCTTATTTGTTTGTATATGGCCCAGAAGCAGTAATACCCGTGGAGGTTGAAATTACATCCCTTCAGATCATTGCTGAAGCCGAAATTGATGATGATGAGTGGGTCAAAACCTGTTTGGAGCAATTGAGTTTGATTGATGAGAAAAGATTGGCAGCAGTATGCTATGGCCAGTTGTATCAAAAGAGAATGGCAAGAGCATACAACAAGAAAGTGCGTCCCCGAAAATTTGAAGTGGGTCAGCAAGTATTGAAACGCATCCTTCCACATTAGGCTGAAGCAAAAGGCAAGTTCGCCCCAAATTGGCAGGGGCCGTTCATCGTAACGAGAGTGTTGTCCTATGGTGCTTTGTATTTAACAGATATAGAAGGCAAATGTGTAGATATGGCTATCAGTTCTGATGTAGTCAAAAGATATTATGTATGATTTCTTTGGTTTAAATTGTGTTTGTTTGTACTTGGCATGTTTTGAAGATTGGAATGACGAAGGCATTTTGTTCTGCTATCTAAACACTTTATCCTTTGTTACCCCTTTGAGCCTTATTTATTTCCTTTCATTCCCCTCTTATGGAATCAGTAGCAAAGTTCAGAAATGCGAACACAAAAGATATGTAAAGGAAAAGAGAGAAAAAGAGAAAGAAAAGAATAAAAAGAGTGAAAAAAAGAAGAGAAAAAAAACAACAAAAAGGGAAATGGAAAAAAAAGAGAAGAGAAAGAAAAAGAAAAGAGAAAAATCACAACAACAAAGTAATTTCTATGCATGAACTACGTTTGACCTGATTCCTTTTAAGGATACGTAGGCAGCCTCACAGTTCGGTCCCGTCAAAATAAAATTCAAAAGTCCCCAAGTAAAGAAACTGGGGCAGAAAGTTGTGGTTGTTGTAAGAAATCTGATTCCAAAAGTTATAATTTTGAACCATTTCAAATTGTTTTGAGCCTTTCAATACCCTTTCTTTCTAACCCTATCCAAAGCGCACATTACGGTCCAAAGAAAGACCTTTCGATTAGTCATCGAGAGATGCTAGGTCGAGCAAGTAGAGGCGAGTCGTATCAGGGGAAACACTCCATTCCGAGCAGGGAAGTAAAAAATGAGAGAGTCTTATTGGTGAAACCCTTCACGGGCACCGTAAGACGATGGAAAGCTGAGTGAAATAAAAAATGAGAGAGTCTTATTGGTGAAAACCCTCACGGGCACCGTAAGACGACAGTAAGTTAAGAGATAAACAAATGAGAGAGGTTTGTTGGTGAAAACCCTTCAGGGCACTACAAGCCGAATAAGGTCGTTGACTTGGCAAGGGAGTTAGATTATGGGAACCACGGGCATAAAAGTGTGAAGATTGAAAGAATATTGGTTGAATAAGCTGGGTTGATTAATCCGAAATGCATGTCATGATAATTGGTACCAGCCGCTCCACTCAGATAAGTCTCTTTCCCTTTTCTCTTTCAAACATGTCATCCAGTTTTGGATTTTCCTCTTTATTCCTAACTCTCGAATTCATTGAATTTTACTTCTTTAGGATTATTTCTCTAAGGTTTTTCCAAATTTTAGCCTTGTTTAAGTAAGAAAGAAAGGATTTCAAAGCTCACTACCAAACCTCCAAATTGCACAAAGCAAAGTGCGGCCAAAGCATACCAAAGATAACATAATATAAAGTGGGAAATAAGGTGTCAATGAAAGTTCCATTGGTCGAATGGTTTAGTAATCTTGTGGGAGATACAGAGGTTTAGGTAGAAGGGTTAGAAATGTAAAACAACAGTTTGGGTGCAGAGCGCTCGGGTTATGCAAGGCAACCAGTCAAAGCAAAACACGACAACAGAGAGGCCACCTTCAGTAAGAATGCCATAAACTAACCACCACATTTTAAAATAACAAAATTTTTCTTTGATTTGAAATAGGGGAAGAAAATTTTGTTTGTTTCGAAGAAACTCTCTGTAAGGAAAGTAAGTACCAGACAGGTTCGACCGTAAATTCTCAGGTCCCTCTTGGACTATGGGACCTAGTTTTAAAATTCAAAATATTCATGAGTAACAAGATCTAGCATAAGCTCTACTTTGTGAAAATATAAGTTTGTTTTGAAGTTTTCATTCTTAGAACGAGACTCAATTGGAAATTTTCAAGACCCATCTGAATAATGGGACTTAGCTTTAAGACCTCCATTAGATAATAAGATTTAGCGTAAGTTCTGTCGTAGGGAAGTATAATTTAGCCTTAAAGTTGTCACTCTTAAGATGAGATTTGATTTGGATTTTCAGGACCCTCCTAGATAATGGGATGTAGTTTTAAGACCTTCATAGATAACAAGATTTAGCGGAAGTCATACCTTTAGAAAATATAATTTAGCTTTAAAACTGTCATTTTACTAGGAGCTTTCAGGACCCTCCAGGATAATGGGATCTAGCTTTCAAATTCTTAGAGATATTTGGTAGCATGATTCAATTAACACTCACCGATGTGCCCAGCTACCAAACTGGGGCAAAAAATTTTCTTTGTTTTGTTTATTCTGTTGCAATCAGGCGCCCACCTAGAGAGCAAGAGAGAACAACACGAGTTTCAAAGATAGAAAGCAGTTCAGGTTCAAGCAATCAGGCACCCACCTAGAGAAACAAGGGAAGCCAGCTCAAAGGAAAAGCAGTCGCAAGAGGAAGTAGTTCAAGCTCAACAATCAGGAGCCCACCTGGAGAACAAATGGAAAACAAATCAAGTTCCGAGGAAAAACAGTTAAAGTGTCGGTAATCAGGAGTCCACCTGGAGAACAAAGGGAAAACAAGTTCAAGTGTTGGTAATCAGGAGCCCACCTGGAGAACAAATGGAAAACAAATCAAGTTCCGAGGAAAAACAGTTAAAGTGTCGGTAATCAGGAGTCCACCTGGAGAACAAAGGGAAAACAAGTTCAAGTGTTGGTAATCAGGAGCCCACCTGGAGAACAAATGGAAAACAAATCAAGTTCCGAGGAAAAACAGTTAAAGTGTCGGTAATCAGGAGTCCACCTGGAGAACAAAGGGAAAACAAGTTCAAGTGTTGGTAATCAGGAGCCCACCTGGAGAACAAAGGGAGAAGCAATTCAATTGTCGGTAATCAGGAGACCACCTGAAGAACAAAGGGAGAAGCAATTCAAGTGTCGGAAATCAGGAGCCCACCTAAAGAACAAAGGGAGAAGCAATTCAAGTGTCGGTAATCAGGAGCCCACTTAGAGAACAAAAGGAGAAGCAATTCAAGTGTCGGTAATCAGGAGCCCACCTGGAGAATAAAGGGAGAAACAATTCAAGTGTCGGTAATCAGGAGCCCACCTAGAGAACAAAGGGAAAAACAGTTCAAGTTTCGAGGAAACCCCGTGTAAATGTTGGTGATCAGGAGCCCACCTGGAGAACAAAAGGAAAGCAGTAATGTTCAAAGCAAGACGGTGCAAGTTCGGCAATCAGGCGCCCACCTGGAAAATAAAGGGAAAACAAGTCAAGTGTCGGAGGAAAGGAAGATAATTCAAATGTTGGTAATCAGGCGCCCACCTGGAAGAACAAAGGGAAAGCAGAAATGTTCGAAGGAAGACGGTTCAAGTTCAGGAATCAGGTACCCGCCTGGAGAACAAAGAGAAAGCACCTTAGGATATGATTCAAGTCAGCAACAAAGGAATTTTACCTAGAGAGTACAAGTCAACAGAGTAATAGAAATTGCAAGATCAAGTTTGAAGATATAGATAGGATTCTTGTAATTCACAGAGCATAGTTTAGTCTAGCTTCTTCTATTTTGTCTTGGTGTAATAAGAAGTTCAGCAAGCAGTAGCAGCAGCAACAGTGAAATCATAGCTTTCTGGTAGTCCCAGCTACCAAAACTTCCCAAACTACACTGACCTAATTCCTTTATAGCCAAGGATATGTAGGCAACCTCGAAAGCAAGGTGTGGTCAAATCTTTCAAAAATGCTTCCCACGGAGTATCCGAACGAGCAAAAATCGCTCACTTTATCTTTGCACGAAAACTCTTTGTGTTTTCGAGCAAAGAGGGACAGCTTTGAGCACGTGATTTTTGCCCTATACGGATTACTCCCATAAATTCAAGAAAATAATGTTTTCCCATTATTTGCAACTTTTGTAAATTTTTCATAGGATTTTTGTTAATTGTTTGCATTTGTCTATGCATGTTTATTTTATTTAAATCATGAAAAAAATATCAAAATATCATGCGTTGCATTTATTTCTTATTTTACATTAATTAGTAATTATTTCTTTTATTAAAACATGAAAATCACAAAAAATAACTCATTTTACACCTTTTAATTTTAGTTTATTGATTTTTCCTTTCAATTTTGTACTAAGTCATTTTAGAATTATCGTGACTAGGCAATTAGTTTAATTTTATAACTTAGATTAATTTAGGAGTTGATTTGTAGGATTTTATTAATTAAAAAAAAAAGAGGAAAAAAAAAAGAAAAAAAAACGAATTTGAAAAAAAGAGTTGTCCAAATTGGGCTGGGATTAATCCAATCCCCTTCCCCAGCCCAAACGCCCTCGCCCACCGGCTAGCCCAAACCCTTGACCTGCCTGCCTCACGACCCGCTCCATTTCCCCTTAGTATATAAGGCCCTTATAATATTTTCCCAGTAAATGAACCCTAGATCCCAAATTCAGAGACGACACTTTACTGTTCACCATCTTCTTCACCATTAGATCTGCGTCCAAACTCGCACGAGTGAGCTCAAACTCACCTCATGCACACCCCATCTCACCACGTCACCGAATATTCTAACGACTTCTGACATTTTTTCCACTCATGTGCTGAATTCGTTGAAATCTCTGAGGAATAAATTCTGAAAAATTGGAGCCGTGGATTGATTTGAGGATCAATCCCCTCCTTCCATCTGTCAGAATTGGTTCCGAAAGAGATTTTCAGATTTCGTGTATGTGAAGAAAGGAAGAGAATGTTCGAGATTTTTGGGGAGATATATATAAGATAAGGCTTCTCTTCTGAAAAGGGGGATTTTTTGGGCAGAAAGGCGAGGATTGAAAAGAGATTTTTCTTCTTCTTCATTTTGAATTTTAGTTCAGTTTTCCAGAACAAGAGAAGATATAAAAAAATGTTCATTGTTCTTTGAATTGGTTTCATTTTCGATTGCTTTTCAAAAAAAAAAATTAGAAAATATATATTCCATTGTTTCTTTTTGGGCTAGAGGTTTGTTTGGGAATGGTGATCGTTTGAGAGTTGCTGAGTTTGCTGTTGTCCGAGCTTCTATTTTCTACTCAATTTTATTGCTTGTTTGGATTGACATTAGCTTTCGGATTTCATTTGTATTCAATGTTCGAGCAAAGTTAAACGGAAGTGTTTTACTGATTCAGGTTCGTTTTTAATCGACTATAGCCTATCTTTGGCATTTGATTAAGAAATGTATTGAGAGTTTAGCTGGTTTAAAACTGTTTAAATCTTGGTGGTCGTTGGTCGTAATGTGTTCGTTTGCCATTTCCATGAGTATTTATGGTTTGGTTTGGCTGTGTATATGTCAACTGAGCTCTAAAATTGTTTTTGGAGGTTCATTGATTGTTGTCGATCCGGTCAGTTCAATTCAGCATTTAGAACTGTTACGACTCTTTGTTAAGCTTTAGTCGCGTCATATTTAAATTAGTTCAGTTCTTTAAAGGTTCCTTTTGGTTAAGTTAAAGTTTCAAAAAACAAAATGAGTGAGTATTTGCTGTTGAAGTTTGAATTTTGAGTGAATGTTGAACTCCTCTTTGAAATGCTGGGAATTCGAAAGCATCTTATAGTTTGAATCCGACATGTTAGAAATTCTTCTCTGGCTTCTTCTTTTTAGTTTTGGGTTCTGTTGAGATATGCTACTGGTTCAGCTAAATATCGGTTTGAATTCGTGATAGTTTTGCGTTATGTATGATTGTTTTTAATGGTTCAAGTCTGTTTGTTGCCATTGGTTGGACTTTAAATTGAATCGATGTTCAATTGTGTGAGCTGTGCTGATCCTTGAAGTTCTGGGAATTGAAAAATAGCTTCTCATTCTACTTTAGTCCTAATCCATTGAGTGTTATTAATTGAGGAAATTGAGTTGAGTATTCGAGTTGGTAGCATCTTCGTATTGAAATCTGAGTCCGACCATGACTGCTAGTTGAGAGTATGATTATCAAAGTTTTGGGTCTGTCATCGAGTGCATTCTAGTCGATAGTAGTTGTTAGCGACTCGAATTTAAGCAGTTGCTCTAAAATTTGATGAATTAAGTTAGCTTCCAGTTGCGATTTGCGCTTGAAAGAGATGTTCGTCAATCTGTTCTTGTTATTCAATGTGCTATCTTGCTATTCGATGTGTTTGAATGTGATACATTGAAAATTGAAGCGTTTAGGTTATGCTTAAGTTTTCGGATTAGATCTGTTCATCTTTGGCTTACTGATGTTAACAGAGTTGTATCGTGAGAGTTATTTTTATTGGTTCTCAAACAATTGTGCACATCATGTCTCTTAAGTTTTAAATGAAACTCACCTAAGGTTATAGTTGTGTGAAGGGATTAGGATTTGGTTGACTTCAGTTCTACCAATTGAAATATGATTCAAAATGCTTTTCTTAACATGACTTATCACTCCTTTTGAAATATTGGGTCTTCTCTTCACTGGATAAGGGATTTCATTAATTGTGAGAACTGGGTTATTTGTTGTGTTAAGAACTTGCACTCATCTATTCTATAGGTATATTTATATGTTATATCTTCAGATTCTCACTGGTCCTTTAGGGTAGTATAACGTTCTGGAATTGTTAACCATGTGCTACTACTTCAGTGATGGATTTGGTTTGTTTGAAGCTTTAACTGATTTTTGCATTGAGCACTCTTGCTGTTTCATTTGGATTTAGATGTAGAAAAGTTGAGATTTAGGCCTAATACAGATTTGCAAGATAGTTTTATGTTTGTAATCCAAGTATGGTAGTTTAGGCATCCAGTTTATGTGGATGGAATATTTGGTGCCATTTATGTCATTGTTGTCTATCAATTATTGGACTCTTTGATCTGATGTTTGGCCATTGCGTCTTTGAGGCTCGGTGGATTTGATCTTACTAAATTGGTCTTGTTTTAGTACTGAGAGGTCACTTCGGAAAGGGATTCTGGGAAATGCAAGATTTAATCATATTGAAAATCTTCACCATTCTGTTTTACCTGTTATTATCATTTCTGCTTTTGTTTGTTAGATAGTAATCCTCTATGTTTTCTTGAATGTCACATATTTGGCATCGGGCTTGACTTATTCGTGAATGGATCAAGATATGGGATTGTGATTAATCTTTCCTTCAGTGTTGGATCAACTGAATCGTTTCCCTCAAGCCTATAACCCTTTTTGTAATCTTGGTTTTTTCTGTAAAATAATTTCAATGTAAGGAATAACAAAACTGTGAACCACGTAGTTCATTGTAGGCCAGTATTTGAAACGTCATGACTACGGGTACGATTTTCGTGACGTAGTTGTGACGCTAAATTTTGAATTAGCTTTAAATATGAATATCCTTAATTCATCTAGTTGAATAGTTTTGAGGTGTGTCATTCGTAAATTTGAATCATATAATCTATGGCCATCATATTTTATAATTTATTTACTAAAATAAATCTCATAGTTTGCTTTAGGCGCGCAATTAAGTTATTACAATTACAGGTACGGTTCCCGTGACGTGGTTGTGATACTTAGTTTCTTTTAAAATTAGTTATAAGTAGAAGTATTGAAGGTTTGCCTTAGCTAAATACAAATTCTTTTCCTAAAATAAATTGAGGTGCGCCATACGCAAATAAAATCCATAATGTATGGCCATCACATAAATACCAAATTAGTATAGAAAATGCCTTGAACTTTCGTAGTTTGCTTTAGGCGCGTTAATTAAATAATTGTCATAGCTATGGGTATGGTTCCCATGGCGTGGTCGTGACACTTAATTCCTAAAACCCGGGGGTGCATTTATGTGACCCGGCCACAATATAATCTTTTTAATAAAAATTAACATGTTGTGGATCGTGTGTACGACTCCCGTAACATGATTCGTAGCGTGTAATCAAATAATTATTTGTATAACAATCGGAGTATTAAAAGCGGTTTAAAAGGAATAAAAATGCACATAGGTTTCAAAGATGTTTTAAAATCAAATAAATAGGCCAATAATAACCGTTGAGCGACCGTGCTAAAACCACGGGACCCGGGAATGCCTAACACCTTCTCTCGTGTTAACAGAATTCCTTACCGGGATTCTGTGTTCGCGGACTGTAAAACACAGTCAATCTTTCCTCGATTCGGGATTTGAACCGGTGATTTGGGACACCATAAATTATCTCAAGTGGCGACTCTAATTTTTGTTTTTAAAAAATAAATAATCCCGTTTCGGTTGTCACTTGAATTGGAAAAAACTCCCCGTATATACCCTTTCAGGGGTAGGAAAAAGGAGGTGTGACAATGGGTATTCATAATTTGTGACTTTTACCCGATTTTGAGACGTGGGCCAGGGGAGACTTTTTGGGCGTTTTTCTAATTTTTTGCCTTAGCTTTGATTTCGTTAGCTACATTAGTTTCTTGTAGCTATATTTATGTTATGTAATTGATTTTGGCTTGATTTGGACCATCCGCAGCCGGATTTTCGTGGAAAGGGCATTATTACGGATTGATTTGAGCTTGGTTCGAGGTAAGTGGCTTGCCTAACCTTGTGTGGGGTAACTCCTTTTAGGATTTGGTAATATTTGATATATGAGCACCGTATACGTGAGGTGAGGAGTGCGTACACGGGCTATTTGTTGAAAAAAACTCAGTTTTCATTAAGCAAAATATCTGTTTTCCTTTAATTGAGCTACCCTAGCATATGTAATTATCCTGTTTAGTTTAGAAAAAGCATACCTAGGTGCCTTAACTGCCTTATCTGTATATCGTAACTTTGTGCAGCATGTCTTAGTAAAATTTCCCGTTCTTTCTTGAATCGAACTTAGTCTAAATTGTGGTTTTCTTGCCGTAATTGTTATTTCAGTTGGTTGAGCTGCATATTTATTTTGGGACTACTGAACGGTATTCCTAGAGTTCCCCCTGTACTGCATAGTTACTTTGGGACTACGGAACAGTATTCCAGGAGATCCCCCAGTACTGCATATTTACTTTGGGACTATGGATTGGTATTCTGGGAGATCCCCCTGTACATTTACGTTTGCAAATATGGGACGGTATCCCGGGAGATCCCCTATTGCTATTACTGTCTTCTGAGCTGTTGGCTTTCATTGAATTCTATTCCTATTAGATTTCCATATTTATCTTACTGTAATATTTCTTTTTGTCTATTTCATTATATTCATACCGGTAGGGCCCTGACCTGATCTCGTCACTACTCGATCGAGGTTAGGCTTGGCACTTACTAGGTACCGTTGTGGTGTACTCATGCCCTTTCCTACACATATTTTTCGAGTGCAGATCCAGGTACCATTTATCAGCAGCATTACCAGTGAGGTGAGCCAACTATAGAGACTTTCAGATATATCTTCCGCGTCCGTAGACCTCGAAGTCACTATCTATTCCTCCCCATGTCAAACACTTCTTGTATTAGACTCTGGAGTATGGGAGTACTATTTCTTTCTTTAGCTTGTGACTTATGACATTCCGGGGTTTGGGAGAGTTTATGTACTTTTCGAAAGTGATTATTGTATATGCCGAGCGACATCTCATTTCCTTGTTTAAATTTACATGTTAGTTGATAGTTTTTTTATGTTTTTGTTCTTCTTTCCGCAAATGTTAGGCTTACCTAGTCGTAGAGACTAGGTACTACCACGACGATTCACGGAGGGAGAACTTGGATCGTGACAAATCCCTAGAAGGTCGTGGATAGATGAAATGAAGGCTGTGCCATTAACTTATCATCAACTGCTGAAGTTTCCCACACCAGAAAGGGTCAAAGAGATTAGAGGAGATCAACCAGCTGCAAGAGAAATGAATGCAGATACCTTGTTTGGTAGTAAGTCAAAAGAAGCAAGCAAATAGCTGCTACAAGAGCTGGTGCCCTTTTCCATCCTGATTGAAGATAATGGAGAAGAGGAGTTATTGAATTTCTATCAGGTACCTAGGTATTTTCAAGTACCGGAGGAAACAGATGCAACCAAATCGACCGCATAGGAGCTTGAAAAGGTTCCCTTGTTCACGAGGTTCTTAGAAAGGAAATTCCACTTAGGAACGGGGTTGAGCCCCAAATTAAGACTAAAATTATTGATTTTCTTAAATATAAAGTCATTTGCCTTACGTGGCCACATTCAGATATAATAGGAATTCCCTTGGAAGTGGTTGTCCACAAGATAAGTTTGGACCCTAACTTCCCTCCAATAAGGCAGAAGAAACAACCGATAGCAGAGGTTAGAAACAGGTTTGTCAAGCAAGAGGTAACTCGATTAATAAATATAGGTTCAATTCAAGAGGGAAATTATCCCAATTGGTTAGCTAAAATAGTGGTTGTACCCAAAAAGAATAATAAATTTAGAATATGTGTAGATTATAAAGATTTGAAAAAGGCACGCCCTAAGGAATCCTTCTCGTTGTAAAATATTAATCAAATGAACGATGCTACGGTCGGTCATGAGTTAATGCGCTTTCGCGACGTGTATTCCGGGTATAATCAAATTAGTATGCACCCGGAAGATCAAGAAAAACCTCATTTATCACAAATTTAGGCACATGTTACTATATTGTGATGCCTTTTAGGCTTGAAGAATGTCGGAGCCACTTACCAAAGGCTTGTCACTAAAATGTTTGAACAACAAATTGGTAACATGATGGAGGTTTATATTGATGATATGTTAGTTAAGTCTCTTAATGAAGGAGATTATTTGGCTCATCTACAAAAGACATTTGATATTATGAAGAAATATAACATGAAGCTCAATCCTAAAATGCATTTTTGGAGTTGGTTCCAGAATATTTCTGGGGTTTTTGATCTCCCAAAGAGGAATCGAAGTAAACCCTGATAAGATAAAAGCCATCGAGGATATCGCAGACCAATTGACAAGTGTGAAGGAAGTACAAAGGTTGACCAGCATGTTGGCATCCCTAAGAAGATTCATATCATGGTCTTCTGAGAAATGCCATCATTTCTTTTCACTTTTGAAAAAGATGAATGATTTTGTGTGGACTTTGGAATGTCAGCAAGCGTTGAAAGCCTTAAAAAGGTACTTGTCTATTCATTTACTATTGTCAAAACCGATGGAAGGTAAGCAGTTGTTAATTTATCCAGTAGTTTCAGAAGTCGCGGTAAGTATTGTTCTGATCCAAAGGGAGGAAGGTATGCAATTTCCTATTTATTATGTTAGAAATTTTTTATCTGGAGTGGAGACACTCTATCCGCACAAAGAAAAATTGGCTCTAGCTCTCATAGTCGCCTCTCGAAAGCTGAGGCCTTGTTTTCAGTGCCATCCAATAGTCATTGTGATGACTTTCTCCTTGAGGACCGTCCTTTATAAACCTGGATTGTCAGGTTGTTTGTCGACATGGGCTGTAGAAATTAGTGAATTTGATATAAAATATAAGCTTCGGGCATCTATCAAATCACATGTTTTGGCTAACTTTATGGTTGACTTTAGTTCGGGACTGATGCCTTTAGCTACTAAAGAAACAGTACTGGTGTAGGGAATTGTATCAGGTGTTTGGACCTTGTTTACGGATGGAGATTCCAACATAAAATGGTCCGGTATTAGGATAATATTAATCATTCCTTCGAGATAAATCCTGAGATAGGCCATTAGAAGTGTATCATTAACTAACAATGTATCCGAGTATGAGGATTTGGTTGTAGGACTTGAGTTAGCTTGGGGACTAGGCTCCGAGGTAATTGAAATAAAGTGTGATTCCTAGCTGGTATTGAACTAGGTATATGAAATTTTCGACACTAAGGAGGAGCAAATACAATAATACCTAAATAAGGTTCAAGTATTACTTTCCCGATTCAAGGAATGCTCGATCATCCACATTCCAAGAGAAGAAAACATGGAGGCAAATGTAATGAAGAGATATCATTCCGGTGTGGTAGTTCAATTGTTGCATTCGGTATTGGGCGTGGACGGATATTATGAACTTAACTCAACCAACCTAATTTGGGATTGGAGAAATGAGTTTATAGAGTATTTAAGACATGGCAATTCCTAAATATCCAAAAGATCTTGGGCGCTTCAGACTAAAGCTGCTCATTATTGCGATGTTGATGGTAAATTATACAAAAAGTCTTTTCAAGAACCATGGCTCGGTGTTTAGGATCGGAGGCTGATTATGTGATGAGAGAAGTTCACGACGGAGTATGTAAAAATCACTCCGGTGCGGATTTGTTGGTTCTTAAATTAATAAAGGCTTGCTACTATTGGCCCCGATTGGAACAAGATGCGAAGGCATTTGTACAAAAATGTGATAGGTGCCAGCGTCATGCACATTTAGTGCATCAGCCGCTAGAACGTTTGCATTTGGTGGTGTCACCATGGGCATTCATGAAATGGGGGATGGACATAGTTGGTCCCTTACCACAAGAGCACGGGCAGGTAAAATTCCTTTTAGTTCTAACTAACTATTTCACTAAATAGGTTGAAATAGGTGCTTACAAAAAATTGGAGATAGAAGTGATTGACTTCATATGGGATCACATTGTCTGCCGGTTTGGAGTACCAAAAGAAATTACGTGTTTTAATGGGCCACAATTTATAGGTTCCAAAGTCATAAAAATTTTTGAAGGATTAAAGATCAAACGGATTACATCTTCTCCATACCATCCAAATGCTAAAGGACAAGCAGAGTCAACCAACAAGTTAATAATTCAAAATCTCAAAAAGAAGTTAGAAGATTCTAAAGGCAATTAGACAGATGAGCTACCAGGAGTACTATGGGCATACCGAACAACAATGAAGTCAAGCACGGGAGAAATACCATTTTCGCTTGTGTATGGTGCAGAAGCTTTGATCCCAACGGAGATTAGGAAACCTACCATAAGATATTCCCAAGAATACAAGGAGGTGAATAATGAAGCAATGTTGATTAAATTGGATTTTCTCGAAGAACATCAAAATTAAAAATATGTGAGGTTGGTGCACAAAAGCAAAGAATGGAAAGATATTAAAACCGCAGAGTAAATCATCGATTTTTCAAACGAGGAAAGTAATTCAAAATACTTGAGAGGTTAATGCTGGGAAGCTAGAACCAACTTGGGAATGACCTTACTAGGTTTCAGCTATAACCGGTAAAAGTTCATATCAATTGAAAAATCAAGATGGAGTTAAATTACCTAGAAATTGGAACGTGACTCACCTCAAAAGAGATTACTGCTGAAGATCCTTGCTGATACTGAAAGTATGTGCTGCACTCTTTTTCCCTTCGTCTAGTTTTTGTCCCAATTTCAGACAACCAGTTCGGACTCATACCGGGGCGATCTACCACAGAAGCGATCCACCTTATTAGGAGGATGGTGGAACAATACAAGGACAAGAAGAAGGATCTCCACATGGTGTTTATTGATCTAGAGAAAGCGTACGATAGGGTTCCTAGGGAGGTCTTATGGAGCTGCTTAGAGATTAAAGGGGTCCCGGCGGCCTACATTAGGGTAATTAAAGACATGTATGATGAAGCTAAGACTCGGGTTAGGATAGTAGGAGGAGACTCCGAGCATTTTTCAATTGTTACGGGGTTACACCAAGGGTCTGCGTTCAGCCCTTCCTATTTGCCCTGGTAATGGATGCACTAACTCATCATATTCAAGGAGATGTGCCATGGTGCATGCTATTTGCTGATGACATAGTTCTAATTGATGAGACAAGAGGCGGCGTCAATGAGAGGCATGAGGTTTGGAGACAGGCCCTTGAGTCTAAAGGCTTCAGGCTGAGCAGCACGAAGACAGAATACCTCGAGTCCAAATTTGGGGCCGAGCCGACGAAAGCGGGAGTGGAAGTAAGGCTCGACTCTCAAGTCATTCCTAAGAGTAGTAGTTTCAAGTACCTTGGGTCAGTTATTCAGGGGATCGGGGAGATCGACGAGGATGTCACACACCGTATAGGGGTGGGGTGAATGAAGTGGAGGTTAGCGTCGAGAGTCCTGTGTGACAAGAAAGTGCCAACGTTACTAAAACATAAGTTTTATAGAGTAGTGGTTAGGCCTGCCATGTTGTATAGGATCGAGTGTTGGCCGGTTAAGAACTCTCACATCTAGAAGATAAAAGTAGCAGAGATGAGGATGTTGAGGTTGATGTGCGGGCATACAAGGATGGATAAGATTAGGAATGAAGATATTCGAGAGAAGGTGGGTGTGGCTCCCATGGAGGACAAGATGCGGGAAGCAAGACTCAGATGGTTCGGGCACATTCCGAGGAGGAGCACTGAGGCACCAGTGAGGAGGTGTGAATGACTGGCTGTGGTGGGCACGAGGAGAGGTAGAGGGAGACCTAAGAAGTATTGGGGAGAGGTGATCAGGTAGGACATTGCACGACTTAGGATTACTGAGGACATGACCCTTGACAGAGAATTGTGGAGGTCGAGCATTAAGGTTGTAGGCTAGGGGGAAGTTGTGAGTATTTCTACAGCACACTAAAGTGAGACTATCCAGTTAGGAGTTAGTCTTAGGATGCTACTAGTCAGCTTTATCTGCTGGATATTATTATATCTTCCATCTTTTTCGTACTTCCTATATTTCTTATATATTGTTGTTATTTTTATTTTATGTTATGTTATGTATTTTATGTTATTTTATTATGAG